GAATCAGATCACGTCACGTTCCTTTTCCTCCTAACGGCGGCGTTATATCGTTTGTTCCTTTTTTGTTTCCAACCTATTTTCCTTTCTTTTTTTTAATTTCAGTATTTTTTTTAATTAATCCTACATGGCAATTTTATTGGTAATGAGAAGTGGGGTGAATTATACAATTCACCACAGGGGGTGAACCTAAGTTCTGTCCCTTCTCGTTTTGTTTATAAGACAAATCAGATAATCCCCTAAATATGGCTTTTACAATTGTAGATTAATAATATGATTTATTATTATTTAGCAATTTCATAAAAGTAGTTTTTAACAATTAATATGATCATTTAAGTATAGATTATAATTTATGCGTTTTGTAAGAAATAATATCACTTTTTCATGTTTCTAAAAAACTTAGCTGTTTTTTTTTTGTTGTTTATGATATTTTCAATTTTATAGTTTTTTTGTTATAATGTATATTATACTTCATCTGTTTTAAAAGGTATAAATTCTGTGTGTTTCACATATTATAAAAATGTATTATTTTATAATTTTATTTTTCAAAGTTTCAAGCCTAGAAATTCAATAAATATAATTAATTTTAATAGCTTACAATTAACTACTGAAAAGTACATAAGACTTAAGAGATAAAACATATAAATATATTTTTTATAATTTCTCAAGAGCATTTTTTAAACGCAGTACATTTGAAATCTATTTAATAACTTCTCAAGAACATTTTTTAAACGCAGTACATTTGAATCTAGTAAGCAAATCACTGATACTCAAATAAAGATTCAACAGTGGGAGGTGGAAGTTAAAGGAATTCGAATACATAAGACATTCTCTTTACCACTATAACTCAATCGACCACACCAGATTTTACATTGTTTTTACTCTTTTTTTTTACCTTCTATATAGAGAGACAATTTTGTTTGGTATATTCAAATCAAACCGATTAATGTATGACCTTTAGATCGTAGTCACCTATGTCTTGCACAAGGTACATGTAAAGAGAAAAGAGTAATTAAATGTTGAATACCTTGTGCAAGACATAGGTGTCCTGGAGTTGAGCGAGCTTCCAACAAGTTCAGGAATGTTTTTTTTTGTTTTTGAACAAATTAAACAGATGTAGCCAGATTAAACAGATGTAGCCACTCAATGAAGTGTCTGCACCTTGTAGCTTAGAAACAAGAAACTTGAAACGTCAAGAATTGAAGGAATGATCACAGGAATAATATATATGACAAGTAAGAAACTCAAATGACCCATTGTGTTTTCTCGTTCATCTTAATTAGATTTTTGTTTCAATGTTTTCTCTTATTGCTTCACCGTGTAGTGCTTTTCATTGTGATCCGTTCACCATGACTATATGTGATGCATGCAATGCAGATAAATAGATATGGTTCAGTTGTGAAGATATTTATTTTTCCCTCCGTTGCATTAGAAAATATGTAAACATCCCATGTCCTCAAGAAAGTAGAAAACTATAAGCTAATTTAATCAAAAGCTAGTGGCATGATGTCTTTAAGCGTGCTTTAGACCTTTAGAGTGTAACATTTTAACGCCTTTTTTTCCTAATTTTAAAGTGTGGGTCTATTTCTAAAGCTTTAAACAACATCTGATAACCATAATTCAACTACTTTCCCTTTATTTGAACGTGTATGTTCTTTTGTTTTCTAAAAGATCGTAAAAAGACGAGAAAATTTCACAAGGAATTTCAAAGTTTTGTTTTTTTGTCACCCGGATTTTGATATTTGTAACGTAAAAAGAAAGACACGGCCGTCGTAGTTCCTTTAGAGTAAAGCCTAACATCTATGTGAGACTTAAACTTTATATGAAGTCATTTGGTTATGCTTTCCGAAACAGAACAAAACCAAAAACATTTGGTTACGTAAGAGATAGCTCTTCCACAAGTCAAGGTCTCTATAGATGAAGCTAGGCTACTATTCAACATTCCTCTCCCTTTCCTCAGCCTTTAACTCCTTTTCCCATCCATAACAGTTACACCACCAACACTTTACAAATTTATACAATACTTCCAAAAACATAAAGAAGTTGCAAAACAAGTCTTTTTAAACTAGTTTACGTAAAATAACCGGGCTTCGTAGCCTGGTGGTAAAGGAACCTCGGCTGAAGTGCCCGCCATCCGACTTCGAACCCCGGCCACCACATAATTTACCTGCGGAGTTGGTGTGGCGCTCCAGACCAGTTAGCCTAACCAGGGACCCTTAAGTGGACGCTTAAAAATCCTGTCATGGCATGGGCTTAGGCCCGGTGGGCTAATCGATCATGCTTAGTGGTCGGATACTGGGTTATCAAAAAAAAAGTTTACGTAAAATACAATATGGCTCTCTTTTCCCAAAGCTACTACATTTAAAATAGATTATCCATCTCTTCATTTTCCCACGCATGGTTTTAAAATACATACATAATTTCACAAGCATACGTTTTTTACACTAAATGATAATTTAATAACCAAAAAATGGGAAAAGAAAGTGTTCTCTGAAACAATCTGAGATCTCTCACGCCTGTTGCTTCAACCTTCAAAGCACCCGTGTTGGCAAAAAACACCTTGGAATGCACCCAAACCCACCTCCTTTCTTCTGCATTTTCGAGTTATAACATTTTCAAAATCAATCTTTAAAACCTAAAACTTATTTGACTATTTACACAAGTGATTTACTGAAAAACTAGTTATACCTTTGTTGATTTGACGGAGAGGATTTGAGGGGACACCTTGTACAAGTCTTCGTCAACGGGCTTCGGTGCCGCCATCCTCCGCTTCTCCACCGGCGTTGGACAGTTAGTCGCCGCGTCTAACTCACGCGCGTCGTTCTTGAAGTTGTGTTGATCCTTGGAGGTTGCTCTCTTTGGCTCCTGGCCCACCTTAGCCTGAAACAAACAAAGAAAAACACATTTCCCGGGAACATATTAGTTCATGGCGTGTTATATGATGAAGGTAATGAAAGAAGTACCCGGCGTCGAGGTAGGAGGATCACGGCAGGAGTAACACAATGGTGGTGGTTGTCGTAGAGATCACCGTCGAGATAAAGATCGCGATCTTGACGGTAAGGAGCGTAATGAAGTTGTTGTTGAGTTGTTGCTGTCTCGAAGCACTGAGTGAATGGAACGGCGTCGTTGCAGTTCCAGCTTCCAAACGCTGGCAAGTCTCCCTTCCTGCAGTACTCTCCTCCACTGTATTCCTGGTGGTAGAGAAAAAAACGGTTAACATACAAAAAGGAGAATAAGAAAGAGAAATGAGCTTACATAGTCCATGGCTGTTTTGGCTAATAAGTTTGATGATGCTTTAAAAGAGAGAGAGAGATAGAGAGGGGGGGGTCTATTAATTGGCCAGATGGTTTTCTTACAAAGTTGTCTCAACTCTTAAAGTCTACTTGTAGGAGATAGAGTAGGGAGACTGTGTGTGTAAGCACAAAGAGAAAGAGGAAAGAAAAGAGAGAAGATTTTTAAATTCAGTAGGGTCAGTGAAAAAAATAAGTTAGCTACTCTGCTTCTTCTTTGCTTTTACATTTTAAACAACATTCTACTGTTTTTTGTTCTGTTTTGAAAACTGTTTTTCTTTTCTCATTTACAGTGTGTTCTGTAGTCTGTATTTACTTTTTTAATCTTCCATATGTTTTGTCTTTTTGTTTGTAGCTTTGTGAGCTTTAGACTTTGTTTTTATATGGAGGTTATGCATGTTTGACAACCAAAAAAAGGACTGAACGTTACTTTTGACTTACAAAAAATGAGTTATTTATTTAACAAGTTTTATGGTCTCTAAAGCTGACTTTTGCACTCAATTTTAATCATTCTTTACCAATATTAACCGTTCTGGGTTGGAATTTTACCCCAAAAAAAACCGTTCTGGGTTGGAAAAAAAATACTCCAAAATTTTTCATTTTAGTGGAGCAGATAACTTAGATGGTTTTTCATTGGAATATCCAATCTGAAAACCCAAATGTTTTCTAAGAAAGTGAATGTTTTAGAGACAAAAGAGTTAATAAATGAGCTTTAGGAAGAAGGGGCCACATGCAATATTACCTGTGTTATGAAACTTTGTGCTCTGTGCAGTGTGCGACCAACATTGCCACGATTCCAAGCTTATAAATTCCTACTTTCATAATAAATGTCTTTATTTTCAATTAGTTTTATCAGTAAATTTATTTGACAGAGGACAGGTGGGGTTAGGTCAAAATTACTGCAAGTGTTCATACCAGCACGCTGCAGCCTTTAAAACTGCCAAAGAAGTTAATAAAAATATATATCAACGGAATGGCTTTTCCGGTGATAGAAATGTTTTGTGTTAAGGCGTTTAACCCATAGAAATCTGGTTTAATTAGTTAAAAGTGGATTTTGACTCTTATAAGTATACATTAAGAAAATGTATTCTTTTGGTTGGACTAGCATTTTCCATGAAAAAGATATAATTATATACATATAGCTATATAACTTTAGTTTAATTTGGCAAAAACAAATAATTGTAGCAAACCATGCTGTTAGGATCGAACACTCGAAGAATCAACAAAGAACATAGAAGAAACAGAGTAGAAAATGACACACAAGAGTTATACGAGTTCAGGCCCTCTTTCGAGTAAAAACCCTACGTCTCGGTGTTCATAAGAACTCAGCAATTCACTATCTTTCTTGGAACATGATTCGAATAATCCCCTCTTGTTTACTCTAGAATGTGTAGCTCACAAGAGAGGGGGGAACAACACCACATATGCCCTTTATATACCAGAGACTAATTACACATATTAAGCTGATAACACTAATCATAAACTATGAGCCTAACCAACCCAACTAAACCGGATAACCTCCACTTCAATCCAGCCAGCTCAATTGACATACCCGTCTTGGTTTAAGCTAAACAGAATTGATCAACATCACCGAAGTACTACACATGCATTAGTGTGCGCATCCGGTTAACCCCCCGGGAGAAAACATGTCATACTTGTCAAATCATGCCCAGTATATATATGAGTCTATGACTATTTAAATAATGTGTGAATAACGATGTTGATTTTTTCTTCCGCTTGTAGTTAAGTATTAGTAGGGGTGGGCACAAGCTAAGTACTTGCCATTTTTGGCCTACTTGGTACTTGGCTTAGCTTGTTCGAGTAATAAAATTTTGGACTTGTACTTAGTTTATTAAAAACGAGTACTTGCACTTTCAAGTACTTGCTAAAAAATGATATATTTGCAAGTACTTGCTCTATTTTACTACTTGTTGTTTCTGAACTAATTTATTTAATAATAATTTATTAGCTTTTGCTACTTAAACCTTGTATATGAATTTTATTTAATAATAGTTTATTAATTTTTGCTACTTAAATCTTGTATATGAATTTTAAAAATATTTTGTTAGTTATAATTATGATTTAAACAATTTTTAATAAAGAGTATTTATTTACCTTTCATTTAATACTAGGATAAGACTTGCATTTTGTGCAGGGTGAATATACGTACTTAAAATATAAAAATTTAGTATTGATAAATTTAAAATTTACATATAATTGTTTTTATATGTATTTGAAATTTTAGAATTTTGAAAATTTTAAATAATTATCTATATGTAGGATCAGAAGCAATTGTAATTAGAACTATAGATCAAATCTTAGAATTTAATGGACCCGATTTCATATATTTTTTTCACTTTTTAGTATTGGAGTGATGGAAAATAAACAGAGTGTCATTGGGCTTGATTGGTAGATTATTAGCAAATTTCCTAATGTTTTTTAAGAAGGAGTTGGTAAAATAATAGCATTTAAAATATATAAAGTTTCAAAACTAATTTAATATAATTTATTTATTTTTATAATAATATTAGAAAACTACTTTTTACAAATTATTATTTTTTAAAATAATTTTATAAAAAATTAAGTTAAATTTTAAATGATTTTTAAAAACAATATTTTAAGTTTTTCAAATACAAATAAACAATTTAAAAATTAATTATGGTCATGAGAAGTTTACGTTCACGTGTTAATCCTATTTATCTTCAATTTTTTCTCTTGTTGTGCTTTTTATATTTTGGTTATTACTCGATATAAATATTGATTTTGAAGTTTATTCTCATTTTGTTTATTTGTTTTGACCTGGGATTTAGAAAATACTTAAGATTTAAAATAATTAAAAAGATACATACTTAGGTTAAGATCTGCACTTTATGCACAATAAGTATTTTATATTTATAACTTATTTTATAATATTCTGCATATCATAAAATAATAAAATAATAAATATATATATTACATAACTAAGAAATCAGTCACTATTATGTAATAAATTGACGTATGCATATAAATTTAACTATCACTCTTGTTTATTCTCAATTAGCGTAAATAAATCAAAATAATCAATCTTATATATTGTATATGATATATAATTAAATTTAAATGATAGAAACATAGTAATATGGCACACTTTTAATATTCATATTTATTAAATGAGGTTTCTACTCATATGATTTTATGATTATTTGCATATTTGTGTAACAAAACTTTACACCAACGATTTCTTTTAATGTGAGATGTTTAATAGTTTCAATATTTTATAATCATTTTTGTTAAATGACATATTTCAAATTTAAATATTAACTTTTCAATATATGTTGAAGACAAATATCAAAATATAAGTAGGTATTTTCATATGATTTATAGTTTAATTAAAACGATATGAAATATATATATATATATATATATATATATATATATAAACTAAAATTATTTCTTCATATGGTCTTATAATCATTATATTTTAATATAGAAAAAAATTAAAACCTTGATCCTAAAAGTTTATGTGAGACTTTTAACAGTTTTAGTAATTTATACTCATTTTGAAAAATTCGAAATACAACATACACAAAAAAAATCTAGATTTTTATTATAGGATTAATGTAATTGCGTAATTTATTTTAATAATAAATAAATAAACAAAATGAGAAAAAAGTATACAGATTGTTATCAAATCTTTATTGTTTAAAATCATTAATTCTCATATATTTTAATCACATTAGGTAATTCCGTAGGTTTTATTTAAGGAAAGCATGCGAAACAATAAATATTTGATATATGCGACCAACTATAGTCTACGAAATATTATATTGTTAGAGAATATAATTTTTAGACTATACATTATATCACATGCTCTAGAATCCTTGGGATTTGAAATAGAAGCCAAAGAGTTATGCCACATATGATTGGGGTTATTTTTAATTCTTACAAACTTAAGGTTACAACTTTTTAAATGATTCTCAAAATATGAGGATTATGGGATACTGTGTGTTGTACACGTGTTTCCTCAAATTAAACCTTCCTGGATTTTTTTTTATATAAATTGCTAAGAGAATATTATTGTAATAATAAACTTTGTTTTGTCTACAGCCGCCGCATACCATAGCTCCAGAATTCGACGTAAACGATGGCATCTTTTGGGGCTGAATTCAACAGGGTTGAGTATTCGCGTGATTTGAGTGAATACTGGCGTCGTATTAATGAATCTCAGGTATTTAGTTCATTCATCTTGTTCAATCTATGTTATGATTATCCTCTAGACTAAATCTAACCTAACCCTTACATGTCTTTTTAGTATACTTTATCTATTTTGTTCATGTCTTTTATGTTTACTTTGTTTTAGGGTTTTGATATTGAAGGTATCGTAGGACCAAAGGGTATGGTTACATCTGGGCAGTTGATATCCTATAAGTGTGAAGGTCTCGGATCCAGTTGTTATCCCTTTGGGCAAAAGGTTAAATATTATGGGAAACTTGGTCTTCATCGTTACAATTTGATTCATGGTACAAACTTCGAACTACAAGATTTGATCAAATTCAACATGTGTTACGGTGGTGCTTCTTCTTTCTACATCACGTTGGAGGCTCGTGATAAAGTTACCAGCGGTCCGTTACAAATCTTTCAGGTTTGTGCTGATGAACAGGAATTTGGCTGTCTGCATGTGGTTTGTTCTATTGCCCGTATTAAAGGTGATGAGACAACTAGTGTGTTTGCACCACCAGAAATCTATGATTCAGTGCATAGAGCATTGCCTGATTGGCCTTCAGATGCTGAGATGCAACGGCTTTTCATGGTAAACCCTAATAGTGTATAGTTTTGCATAAGTTTTTGTTTTTACACTTGATTATTTTAAAAACTAGTGTGAGATATGTGTTTCTAGGTGGATAGATCAGAGTTGCTGAACACCCACTGGATTCATTTCTACCTCGAGCTTCTTCTTTGTATTAAATTTGGGAATTTTTCAGAGGAATTGAACGTCTCCAATCTAGAATTTGTGAATGTGGTTATAGAAACTGACAATGAGACTCCGCTCAAGGCCAAAAGTTCAGTCCTCTATATAGTTTTTAGAGGACTGGCTATTGATGGTACTAACGAATCAGTTGAACGGAAAGCTATAATCAAAAGCATGTTCAACGAGCTTACTGGATCTTTGACTCTCCATGGTATCGTATGCAAAGGAGAACATGATGTGGCTCCTATAAGTACCGAAGAGCACTTCAACATTCCTCTCCCAAACGTCTCTTAGGCCACTATGTTGTGTTGTGTGTGTGTTTTTTTTATATATTTGGTTGTCTTGGACTCGGATTTTGGTTTAATAATATAACTATTTCTGTGTTTTCTTTAAAAAGAAAAAAATAAATATTGCAGCTGGAATCAGATACCTTTCTTCCACGCTAACTATCAATGATTTTTATTCTTTAACTAACTAATTAAATTTTCAGGTTTAATGTATGTGGTGCATACGTACTGCAAGTTTGGATGATGATGTATATGAGATGTGCACAACATTGGTCATATGACTCATATCAAACCAACTAAGTTACAATTACTATTATACAGCGAACAACATCTACTTTTCTTGCTGGTAACAGTGAAGATACTACTAGCTAATACGCAATTTCTTCAAGAACTTGGAGCGTCTTCTCGTGTACCTATAGAATACAAATATAGAAGCTATAATAAATGTAACAAAAAGAAGAGAGACATTGTATGCAACATATTTGCCGTTTTTTAAAGAACTCACCCATTCTAGATGTTGTGCCGTGATACCGGATGCATTACCCGAGTATATGCTGCCCATTACCTATCAAGATTGAAATTTAAAACATCACACACACACAGAATGGTTAATATTTCTATTCATAATCATCTTTTTAGACAAAGCTAATTGATCAACACACCTTTGTGACAGTCTCTAGAAACATTCCTGGCCTTACTGGTAATGGTTTTTTCCCTGTAAAGCTTCCCTGGATGGGATTCAAGTAGGCCAAGTTAGAATTGAAGACTTAATCTTTGGTTTAGTACCTACTCAAAGATCTTCTCTTTAAACAGAAAATGTGTTAGGTGCCCATACTCACCCTTCCTTTTAATCCACTTTGTCTACTTCCTTGGGTAGGAGAATCCTCTCCACTGCTAAGATCATCTGCACCTTCATCTTTCCCTTGCATTACATTCTTGATCATTTGCTGCACTGTCTTTCCAGGTTTGAGAGCTACCAATTTAGTTAAGAAATTCACCTGTTATAATGATAATAAAACAAGTCAGTTGCATTTCAATGTTTCAATATTATTTTCATAAACATGGTGTAACAAACCTCTGATTCAGGTAGAGTAGAGAAACCACGGTCATTTCTCTCATCAAGTATACCACCTCCCATCATGTTCCTCGCTTCTTCTCTGATTAAAACAAGCCTCGCTAGTAGTTTCCGATCAGGAACAACCGGCCTTGTCTCCATAGTCTGCAAAAGTTCCTCATACTTATTCAGTCTCCAGACTTGTGATCTCGAAATACAAATATACATACCTCAAGCAAGTCATCAGCTTGATTAGCTATGTCATTAAGATTAGCTCCTGGAAGATGAAGTTTAGTACCGTCCTTGCCTTCAAAAGCCCCACCACCTGCAGCTACTCTACGCAGAAGCTCTTGTCTACTCTCTTTCTTAGGGGTTCTACAGAGTAAACCAATCACTTGGACCTAAAATAAACAGCAACAAGACTCAATGAATGACGCTAGTGGGAAGTCTTGTAAGCAAAGAAGAATCTATTACTCACATGAGGAGGACATTTTTTAGTGAGATGAGATAAGACAGTCTCCTTGACAACCTCTAGCAAAGCCTTCCTCTGATCTCAAAAAAACAAAGTTAACTTTTTTAAGGACAATCTTTCTGTATATATATATTCAGAGGACAGAACAAAGAAAGGGTTTTACCTTATCGTCTTGGTCTTTGTCAGCAAGTTGAATCATGTAATCAAGAGCCATCATAAACCCTGACTCCATTTCATCAACCCTTTTCCCTATAACTCCTTGTGCCGCCAATTCCACAGCAACGTTCTCAGATGCTTCATTCATCTTCATATCTTGCAGCTACACACAAATACGTGGCAACTTCACATGTCAAAACCATTACAAAACCAACAACTCTGTTTTACAAAACCTAACGCCGCTAAGTTGTTCGACAAAATGCTAAGCTTAGAAAAAAAACACGAGACCTAACTTGGTTCTATTACACATGAGGAGTAACAATTCTATTACTAAAACCTAAACGCCGCTAAGTTGTTCGACGAAATGCCAAGCTTAGAAAAACAACACGAAATGAAACATAACTTGTTCTATTACACATAAGGATTAACAATTCTTTTACTAAAACCTAAGCGCCGCTAAGTTGTTCGACGAAATGCCAAGCTTAGAAAAAAAACACGAAATGAAACATAACTTGTTCTATTACACATGAGGAGTAACAATTCTATTACCAAAGCCTAAGCGCGGCTAAGTTGTTCGATAAAATGCCAAGCTTAGAAAAACAACACGAAACATAACTTGTTCTATTATTACACATGAGGAGTAACAATTCTATTACTAAAACCTAAACGCCGCTAAGTTGTTCGACGAAACGCCAAGCTTAGAAAAACAACACGAAACGAAACATAACTTGTTCCATTTACACATGAGGAGTAAACAATTCTATTACTAAAACCTAAACGCCGTAAGTTGTTCGACGAAATGCCAAGCTTAAAAAAAAACAGCACAAACACAAAGCTTCATACGAAACATAACTTACGAGAGTTATCATCTCTTCGAGAACAGAGGTTACTTGTTCGCCTCCTTTGAGCAGAGCCTCGTATTCAGACGTATCTAGCTTGTCCTCGACGTTGGTTTTACTTTGATCGGTTCCGTATCTTTCGAAGAGCTCCTCTTCGGTGTATCCGCCTCCTACCTCGTACGGGGCGCAGAATTGAACTAGGCGGTTCGGTTTCTTGGTTTGGTTTGGTCGGAACGAGCAAAAGGAGAAAGGAGATGATGAGATAATCGATGGAGTTAGAGAGTGTCTTCTTGAAGGAGATGGGGAGGAGTAGAAACGAAGGTGGAGAGATTGTAACATAGTTTGAGGTTCTGGGTTTAAGAAAGGGAAGGAGAAGGAGATATTATGAAGAGTGGAAGAAGAAGACGAGGATAAGTATAAATGTTAGATTAGAAGAAAAAAAAATAAAAATATATAAGCGCCGACTGTGGGGATCGAACCCACGGCCACGGGATTAAAAGTCACGCGCTCTACCACTGAGCTAAGTCGGCTTGCGTGACCTTACGCGTATTACAAAGTATAACTCACGGGACAAAAAAAACTTTGCAAATAATAAAAGTTTGGTTATTAATAAATAATATGCGTTTGATACACAAAATCAAGTTTCCATTATGGAAATCTTTAGAGGTGATCAGCAACCATGTGAAAGAAGCATGGATGGGGTCCAAATGAAATAATTGTGTTTTATCATTCTTATTAGAGGGTTGAGTTGAGTAAATCTTCACCTAATGGATGTTAGTTTTATTGATCAACTCATAAGATGAAAAGCCATGTATTCATTTTATAACTTGTAATCTATCTAACCCTGATTCAAGGTATGATATAATCGCTCATCCATATAATTTGATTTTTTTGAAGGGAGCAAGCAACAAATTAAATCATGGCAAGGGTTGCTTGATATTGGCTCAATTATTAGAAAATGTCTCTTTATTTCCCATTCACTATGTCTGGCACATGCTTTATTTCCTAATCTTCTTTTAGGTGTAGCTTTATAGTACACCATTGCAATCAAACAGTTTCCCCATGCCTATTTATAACACACTAGTTATCTTATAACTATGGTTTTATATACAATTATTAGTAGTTGGGGTAGCATCACACCACCTATGTCTCGCTAGATAAATCTCATATGTTCAGACCTTAACTAACTAAAAGAAATAACATAACTAATGCACTTCTGGCATGGCTCAGTTTGCTATATGTATATGTAGATTTCTCATGAGTAGAATGCTTCTTCTTTTTTTGCATTCTCCCAAATGTAAAACATATTTCAAAGAAAGTTAGATGGAGTTTTTGCAACATTTATCAAAGATTTGTTTTTTTTTTGAACAATCAAAGATTTGATAATTGTCATAAATAACGAGAAATTTGAGTGGAGAAGGATATATACTTTGTTTCAGCTAATAACTAAACAAGTGAAAATAACTAAACTCTGAAACTTTACTGTCATCAGTTTTTAAATTAACTCCACACTGGTTTTTGTTTCTTTTATAGAAGCACTTGATTATATCTTTCGCTAACATAACATTTGTAACCATTTTCTGATTTGGTAATATATTTAACCTATATCAAAAGAAACAAGTGAAAATTGTTTTAGTTATATTTTTCCGACAGTAAGAAGAGTAAACTATTTTTTTTTTGGCTAAATTAAAACGTGTTATTTGGATTCAACTTTTTTATGATTTTATTTATAATTTTATTTTTATTATCTCTATTTTCAATTGCTTCCAGTTATTCTAATAATTATCACAGCCAAAATATATATTTTTGAATTCCTAATAGTGCCACAAAAAAAGATTAAAGTCAAATAAGTTTGAATTTATTAATGAACAAGTTTGAATCCACCTTTGGGTGAATAACAAATTACTCAAAACGACCGTTACATTTGGCTCCAACTAGTTATTAGGCGTAACTTTCGCAATCCCGAACGTACCCTTACGAGTCACAAGGAGTAGCCAGACGTAAGGGGTATAACCGCCAATTCTCCTTAATCTCAGACGACAATACGGTCCCCGCTTCGCAAGTGAGGTAGGCCCTCACAGGTCACAGTTTCTCGCCCTCACAAATAAAAAGGTGATTGCGAAATTTTTTAAAAACGCAAAAAAAGCTCAAAAGGGTAATTTCGTCATAATTTTGAATTTCTTTTTCTCTCCCCTTCCCACTGCCAGCTCTGCTTTAGCTTCTCTACTTCTTCTACGTTTCATAGTCACAGACTCACAGGAGAAGGAAGGGAAAAAAAAATCAAGATTAGCTCTGAAAAGTATAAAAAAATGTCAGGTTTCGTCGGGATCCTTGTCTCGGATCCATGGCTACATAACCAATTCACTCAAGTGGAGCTCCGGAGTTTGAAATCTCACGTACGTTATATCTTATATCCAATCATAACGCGAGTCTGATTATGCTTTTGATTTTCGATCTGATTCTATCGTTTCTCTGTAACAGTTCACGAGCATGAGGAGGGAGAGCGGGAAGCTTACGGTGTCAGACCTCGCGTCAAGGATGGGGAGATCGAAGGTGGTTGGAGATCAGAACCTCACCACTGAAGAAAGAGCTTCTCTGATCCAAAGCTTCCATCCGAACCTCGAAGATGAAGTCGATTTCGAGTTTTACTTGAGGGTCAGTGTTCACAGATCTTCCTGTGTTGGAAGATTTCTACTAATGTCAATGTTCGAAAAATCGCTAGGCGGATAAGTAGGATAGTATGTGCGGATGCCTAAGCGTCACTTAGACCTAAAAGTTTTCAGCCGCATCGGCACTTAATATTAACAAAAATCTCTATATATACCTATGCATCTATATATTTTTGTTACTATTTGGACCGTATCGCACTATATATACATATATATATATATATGTAGAATGAACGTTATACATAGCAACAGCACCGCACCGCACTTTATACTAACAAAAATCTCTATATATATTTATATATCTATATATTTTTGTTACTATTTAGAGTATCGCACTATATATACATATATATATATATGTAGAATGAACGTTATACATTGTTAAGATAAATCTCTACATGTACCTATGTATCTATACAATTTTTCTAATAAAGATCAGTCTATTTGAACATTGAAATCGAGATATTAATGTCAAGATGCGGAATAAGTGCGGTGAGGTTCAAATAGTAACAAAAACATATAGAAAAATCGTATAGTATCCGCAAATAGTAACAAAGAGACCGATCTTTGTTACAAAAATAGTTTCGCTTATACCAATTTTGTCGCTTAAATTTGCAGATTTATCTTAACCTTCAAGCACACGTGAACGCTATAATCGGAAGCGGGGCAAAGAACTCGTCTGCGTTTCTCAAGGCAGCTACAACCACTTTGTTGCATACCATCAGCGACTCTGAGAAGTCCTCTTACGTAGCTCATATCAATAACTACCTCTCTGGAGATGAGTTCTTAAACAAGTACCTACCTATCAACCCTTCCTCTAATGATCTCTTCGAAGTGGTGAAAGACGGTGTTTTACTTTGGTAAGGCTTCCCTTCTTCTTACTCAGATTCTATGTTTTGATGAATGTTTTTTTCCTGATGTTATGGATTTTATCTTTGATGTGGTGTAGTAAACTTATAAATGTGGCGGTTCCTGGGACGATTGATGAGAGAGCTATTAACACTAAGAGTATGCTTAATCCATGGGAGAGAAACGAAAACCATACGCTTTGTCTTAACTCTGCCAAGGCTATTGGGTGTACTGTGGTTAATATAGGAACTCAAGATATCATTGAAGGAAGGGTATGTGAAACAGTAACTATCAGTTTTTTTGTTCACATTTCCTGTAATGGTTATGACTTTAACACTTTTGTTTCTCTGTTTCAGAGGCATCTTGTGCTCGGTGTGATTTCTCAAATCATCAAGGTGAGGCTCTAATGCTGCTACTGCTCTTTGTTTTTTGATAAGACGATGTGTGATTTATCTTGATTGTGACTGTGATGTTTAGATACAATTGCTAGCAGACCTAAACTTGAAGAAAACTCCACAGCTGGTGGAGTTGGTGGATGATAGCAAGGTAAATACTACTCGTCGTCTTGTTGACAATTGGTGTAACCTGTTGTCTAAAACAAACATTTATGAATGATTGTTTTTCATAAATAATGACTGTTTCAATTTTTGGGATCAACAGGATGTGGAAGAGTTGATGAGTTTACCACCTGATAAGATCTTATTGAGATGGATGAACTTTCAGTTAAAAAAAACTGAATACAAGAAAACTGTCACAAACTTCTCCTCTGATGTAAAGGTATCTAAAAATAATATAATTAAGTTCTTAAGTTGGTTTATAAAAGCAAGTGCTCCATAGAATTTTTATTGTAAGATGCACATGGCTTATGATATGGTTTTCTGCAGGATGCTGAAGCTTACACTAATCTATTAAACGTCCTAGCACCAGAGCATAAGAGTCCTTCAAAGTTAGCAGCCAAAAACCCATTTGAGAGAGCAAAAAATGTTCTCGAACATGCAGACAGGATGGGGTGCAGGAGATACTTGACCGCTAAGGATATTGTTGAAGGTTCCCCGAATCTTAATCTTGCTTTTGTAGCGCATATCTTCCAGCACAGGTAAATGTCAAGTCTAGTTCAAGTTATATCCACCTTTCTGTGAAGTTTAACAAATGAGAAACACATGTTTATCTTTTTCGCAGGAACGGGCTTTCAACCAAAACAAAACAGATATCTTTCCTTGCCGATGACACTCAAATATCAAGAGAAGAAAAAGCCTTCCGGTTTTGGATTAACAGCTTTGATAGTTCTATGTACATAAACAACGTGTTTGAAGATCTAAGAGATGGGTTCGTATTTCTAACATTGAGTACTAAAAACTGTTAAATAGAGAATGGAATATATATTTTAACACTGAGTTATGTTTTTTTGGCAACAGGTGGATACTGTTGCAGACACTAGAAAAGGTGTCACCAGGAATTGTTAACTGGAAAATAGCAAGCAAGCCTCCCATCAAATTGCCATTCAAGAAAGTAGAAAACTGTAATCAGGTTGTGAAGTTAGGGAAGCAGCTCAAGTTCTCTTTGGTTAACATCGCTGGAAATGACATTGTTCAAGGAAACAAGAAGCTCATACTAGGTACTTTCTCAATCCTATGATTGTGTTTTATGAATGGTGAACATTAATAATGAAACATTAAAAAAACTCTTGCAGCATACTTATGGCAATTGATGAGATACAACATCCTGCAACTCCTGAAGAACTTGAGATCCCATTCCAACGGCAAAGAAATAACAGACGTTGATATATTGGAGTGGGCAAATGCTAAAGTGAGAAAGAACGGAAGTCAAACCCGTATGTACAGTTTCAGGGTAAGTAACAAGGCAACAACCATTGTGAGATATTTTACATAGAACCGACATGTGTTAGTGACAAAGGATGTCTGAATATGACAGGACAAGAGCTTGTCCGATGGAATATTTTTCCTGGAGCTGTTGAGTTCAGTGCAGCCAAGAGCTGTTAACTGGAGTCTTGTTACAAACGGAGCAACTGGTAATAAACAGTTAAAGTTCATATGTTTATGTGTGTTTTTGGAGTATACTTAAACATGCTATATACAGATGAAGAGAAGAAGATGAATGCTACTTACGTGATTAGTATAGCCAGGAAGATGGGTTGCTCCATATTTTTACTACCAGAAGACATAACTGAGGTACTATGATGCCTCTCTCTCTCTTTCTTTTGTCCATTTAACAATGTGATCACTTAATAATATGAAAAGATCTGATATATATATTATGTACCAACAGGTGAATCAGAAGATGATTCTGACACTGACGGCAAGTATAATGCACTGGACTCTGAAAGAACCTCTTCATCTTATTAAGCCTACCGGATCTCCCGATAGCCACAGTGGAAGTCTACTCGACGACTCTACTTCCGATTCTTCTTTAGAATAATAACTTATGTTTTGTTCCATGGTGAAGTTATATACATTTCAAAAATTCTGTGTAATGATTCTATAAATGATTCCCTTGATTGTTTTCTATGGGTGGTAAAACAATATTGGAATTATATAAGTATTTGATACCTCGTTGAATGTATATTTTCTATATGTTCATTTACACAACGCATAGTGTTCACAATCACATTCAACAATTACACAACACATAGTGTTGTGTTGTGTTCACGTTAACCAATTGAATGTGTGCTTTCCAGCTATGCACATTATAGAGGGAAATGTTGCAAGTGCAAACTGTAAATAATCTTATTGGGATAAAAGAATATGATTACAAAATGGACATATATATATATATCATACATAGATGATGTATTATCTTACAAAGAGGAGATAAAATGCAAAACATACAAACAAAAATTCACAAAACATTCACTTACTAATCAAAACCCACCAGCACTTGTTCTTCCCATCTAACTTCCGCTCACAGGACTCTCAATTTCACTACCAACAGAGTAATCAAACCAATTTGGAGGAAGAAAAGGAGCATCTGACCTCAAATGGAACATGTGTGTGTGACTGTGTCTTCAAAAATCCATAGAGCAGCTAAAAAAGTTTCTAACTTGTATACTGTAAAACACATCCTTCATTACAAGATTTCTCAGCTACACAATGTTTCTTCCAACACTTTGATCTACTTCATAGAATTCCGCCTGAATCTGCACACAATAACCATGTATTTACATATACAACAAGATCAAAGATTACAAACATGTCAAGTTCCACAAATCTATTATACAAGAGCATGATTAATGGGAGGTTTTTAGAGTAGGTTTCTTAGCCAAATATAAGAAACCTACTCTGTTTGACACACAATAAACATGTCAAGTTTCTTAGCCAAATATAAGAAACTGTTTCTTAATTTTTAACCAAAAAAACTAAGATTCTTATATTCCGTTAAAAACTCCACCCTAAAAACACGGCATATTTATTGCAGGTCCCTTAAACTGTGCCGTGCAGTCCCTTAGCTTTTAACTGAAAACGCTAAGGGACGTCCATTACATAGGGATTTAAGGGACGTCTCTTAGTGTTTTCAGTTAAAAGTTAAGGGACCGTAAGCTAAGGGACCCAGTTTAAGAGACCTGTTTATGTAATAAACATGGTCTAAGAACCTCCATTAGTCATGCTCTAACCTATTAACATTTCCGACAAGTTCCAAATCAAGACAAGTGATTCTCAAACTCTACTAATCAAAAAAAAAAAACCCTAACCTTGTCAACAGCGACACAATCTTTAGGAGTCTCGAACAAAGACATAGAGTACTGCTTACGAACAACTCCAACATCAAAATATATAACACCAGAGCTAGGTATGTCCACACGGATCCCTTTAACCGGAAACCAAAGAAACAGATCCTGCGCCGTTACACCGGTTAAACCTCCAATACTTCCGTAACCTATCGTCCCCGTGATGTTAGCTTCGTAATGTATCTCGCTCTCGTACTTCGCCTTGCAAGATTCGTTTAACCAAACCGAGAACTGTCCCGTCTCCGCGTCGACGTTGAACTCTCTAACTCCCTTTGGTAATAGTCCCATTGGTAACGCGTGTGCTCGGAGTACGTCGTATATCGAATCTTTCTCGGCGGAGACAGGGATCGAGATCGTAACGAGGAGGAGGAGGAGAAGGAGGTGAAGAACACTATGCATCATCATCGCTTTGTTATCCTTTGGAGAAGAAGACATTGATGACAGCTTGAAAACAAACAGAGTAGATCAGAATTATTGAATGTTTTGATGGAGGTGTGGTGATCTTCTGTTTCTGTGTTCTGTGTGTTGCGGAAACGAATTGTTCAATGAGATTGGAACACGTGTGTGAGGATTGGATATTTAATGGACCGTGTCACATGGGAAGTGTGGTTGTGGGAATACAACACGCTCGTGAAGTACGCGTGGGGGACAAGCGCGGGGCCTTGTAATGGTTGGTTAGATGAAGTTAGTTCTGGAGGCGCGTGATTAGTACTAGTGGTGAGTTTCTGAGAAGAGGAGGGGGAGAAAGATTGTTTTTGACAAATGGATCCAAACAACGATTCTTTCACGGTTTCACCTGCATGTGCACCTAGCGAGTAACGAAACGATTGTTTTGTCTTGAAGTAGTTATATAAACTTAGTCTCGAAATGTTTAGCCGAAGACGTCTACCAAACCTGTTCGTAAGAGCTAAGAGCATGCCCATTGAAGTATTAAAGTGAGGGTTCACTTATTTCCCCCCAAAAAAAAATATATAAGATTCATAATTTTTTGAACCCGTGTAGCTGACGATCAGTGAGATGAATTCGGTTCATCACTATTTTATGGGCCCCACGCCACGGCGAATGGCGATTAGTCCATTTATTTTTTATTTTTTTTAAAAAAATCAAAAGAAAATAAAAATTGTGAACCTCTGTTGCTCAGGTTCAGTGATGAGCATGCTCTAAAATTCATCGTAAAGTTTAAAAACCTTTTCTCAAGAACCCGATAGTGACTCCTGGTTTCTTGAAATCGTTTAGGCTCTAGGAACAGTGGAAATGGCATAGGACATGGTGTTAGGGAGACCATATTGATATGGCAGGTAGATATTTCAGCGTTTGGGGTTAAAGGACGTTGTTGCTGAGGAAATAGAAGCAGTTAGTTTAGTTATCAAGGGATTTAATTGAGATTGAATCCTCTTGAGCATTGTTGCTGCTCTGCATGGATTTTCAAAGGAAATGATCTAAATGTTTTGCAGATTTTGTAAAAGGTATTTTCTCTTCTCAAATACAATTTCTAAAGCAGAGATTTTTTTTTCTAAGTTGCATATAAACTGCATATATAAATGAAAATTAGTCCTGGAAAGTGATTAGCTTGAACGTTGAATCCATGCAAATCAGTTATGAGATGCTCATCGTTATTGCTCATCATCACGTTAGCTATCATTTATAAAATATGTCTAAATTAATTTGTTTACGTAAAATATGATTCCATGAGCGAATGTTTGAATTCTTTGTGGGCACGGCTCTGACCAGAGCTTGAAGGTTATTCCCACTGATCATTAATCAATTTATGCCGTTGTGTACTTGTTCACAAGTTTCATAGAAATTAGTCTTCTTAGCAAACAAAATTTCAATATTTTATTTATAAATTAATTACAGTTTGATATATTCCCAATTCAAACAGACAAAACAAATGACTTAATCCGCCACATTGAATGGTTCTGCATCTAGTTTTGTTGAAAGTAAAAACATACAAAAAGTGAGGTAATCACAAATCGGCGGTGCACAATGACTTTTACGTATCTTAAGGAAATCAAAGCAATATAACAATGCATGACCATTGTCCTAATTAGAGGAAATATTATATAACCCACTTTCTGCAGTTTGTGTATTTTATTAGAAGGTAATGGCGGTAGAAAAAATGTTTATAAAATTACTCGTCACTAGATCACCTATATATATAATCGAGACATCTAACTTGGTGGTAAAGAGTTCATGGTTGTGAATACCGCCACCTGGGTTTGATTTTTGGTCAGCAACCCACATAGTGACTAGCTTGCTGGTCCTTAATCACTTCAATCTCTAGTTTAAAACCATTTTGATGGGATCAAGATACTCGGTTAGCAAAAAAAAAAGATATCCTATATACATATATGTATATATTGCTGTAAACCGTTTTATTAGGAAACACAGTAACGCAATACTACGACATTTAAAAACTTATAAGTGCGTTGGTGTTGAAAACAAACATATTGAAAAAATGTTTTTCAACCAGACTTTTCTCTAGCATCCTACATGCATTAACCTTTATTTAATTACACCACTTTACAATATATGCATCATCAAGAATCTATACTATTAAAGCTGAAGTACAAAAATAAAGTGTTTGGAAACATGAATAAGAAAATTTTAAAAGTTTGATTGGAAACATGGATAGCATACAAATTTAATGGGCTTATTTATTATACTAAAGATTACTGCGGCCCAAGGTACCATTATTATTGTTTTTGGATTTTCTATCATTGATATTACTTTATTTTTAAAAATTATTTATACATATATGTATTCATGTTTTAAATGTATTTAGAATAAATCAAGAATAATATATATTTTATTTATATAATTTATATTAACTATTCTTATAAATTTTTAACAGTGATATACTAGCCTTCCAATTCTTCATTAAAAAATTAAATTAAAAATTTGACTAAATTATTTAGTGTATATAACTTTACACCAAATTTAGTCAAAAAACTTTATAAACTATTACTAAAATGTTTACGGGTCACAACATTTTACGACGCCCCTGTTACACAATACAATAATGAAATACAATGTTTAAACAATATATTATTACTTAGTAAAATTGGAACCATTAAATTGTAACTTTAAATGTTATCTATACCATAAAAACAAAGACCCGCCCAGTCGAACGGGTTATGATCTAGTTTACAATTACATCTAAACCCCTTACACGTCTTTTTAGCAAATATATGCAAAATGTCTGCTATTCTTTTTTTTTTTTTTTTTTTTTTTTTTTTGTCTGCAAAATGTCTGCTATTCGATTTTGACGAAATGTGCGCATATAGGTTTCTACATATCCTGCTAAACTTTCAAAGAAGTCTTCATTATACAGCTAACTTTCAAATCAGTTTTCATTTTACAGCCAACGGATTATAGTTTCCTATGTTGTAAGCAAGCCACTTTGCCGTTTATATTATAAATTTACCACTCTTTAAAGGTATCAAATTGATAGGAGGCCACAGCCTACACAATTTATATCCACATGCTACTAGATAACGTATAGCTCAACTAGACCGCTTTCAAATAATTTTCTCGTTTGTATTATCAAATATCACATTCTTATTTAAATTATTGGTACTTATTTAGCTTAACTTAACTTGATTTTTTTATCAAAGAAAAATACACACAAGTATGTATAGTTTATGTTCTTTTCTGTTGACCATATCATCAGTTATCATTTTCAATTTAGCATTCGATTTCATATACATAATTCAAGGGTGATTAATTGGTTATAGTCTGGTATCCAGACATCAAAATCATTTTATATACCTAGTTGTAGTAGTACAACGTACTGTACCGTTGCGTTGACATCTTCTTCCATAATTAGCGTGTGTAACATATCTATAAATCCAAAATGTCAACCCTAATTCTCTATATATACTTGTTTTCTTCTTCTTCAAGGCATATCCATATCTCTAAACCTTAAACTTTCCAGCAATTGAAAAACAAAAACTCTCAAGAGATGGATAAGTGTCTTCTCCTCTGCTTCCTTTTGTTTTCAGCTTATAGTTACGTCTCAGCTCATTATTATCCACCCAAAAATACCCTAGTATCAAGCGTGACCAAGAACACCATCTTACCTATCTTCACTTTCACACTCAACACAAACGAAGAATATTTCATCCATATCGCTGGTCCCTACCTAGTTCGCAGCTGTAATGATGGTCTCCCTCGTCCCATCATCCCTTGCGGCTCCTCCACATGTGCTCTCACTCGTAGAGTCAGCCCTCACCAATGTCCTCCTCCACAAAACGCTATCATCAATGGAAGATGTGCTTGCCAAGCAACAGCTTTTGAGCCGTTCCAACGTCTATGTAACTCAAACCAATACACCTATGGAGATTTTGCCATGTCTTCCCTAAACCCTAGATCTCCCTCCTTCACGTTCAACAACGTGAAGTACCTTTGCATCCCCAAGCCGTTCCTCGGAGACTTCCCTCCTGGTGTTTTGGGCCTCGCGGGGCTTGCACCCACGGCTCTCGCCACGTGGAACCAGCTGACTCCACCGAGACTAGGGCTAGAGAAGAAGTTCGCGTTGTGTCTGCCTTCTGATGCGAACAAAGGTGCTATTTTCTTTGGTGGAGGTCCATACAAGCTCGGAAACATTGATGCAAGATCCATGCTAACTTACACTAAACTGATCAAGAACCCTAGAAGACTCAACAATTATTTCTTGGGGCTCAAGGGTATTTCCGTCAACGGGAAAAAGATCTTGCTTGCGCAAAACGCTTTTGATTTCGACGGCAAGGGTGACGGAGGCGTGACTCTGAGCAGCGTAATCCCTTTCACTACGTTACGTAGCGATATATACAAAGTGTTTATTAAAGCATTCTCAAAAGCCACGTCAGATATTCCACGTGTCAATAGCACAACACCTTTGGAGTTTTGTCTGAAGTCAGCGGAACATTTCCAAGTGCCTCGGATCGATCTGAAGTTAGCTGATGGGAAGATTTGGAAAGTGTCTCCGGCAAACTCGATGAAGAAAGTCAGTGATGACGTGGCTTGCTTGGCTTTCCTCAACGGGGGAGATGCGGCGGCGCAGGCGGTTGTGATCGGAATGCATCAGATGGAAAACACTTTGTTAGAGTTTGACGTTGGGAGATCCGCTTTTGGATTTAGCTGTTCTTTGGGTTTGGTCAATGCTTCGTGTGGTGACTTTCAAACAAAGCCATGAGAAAGTCAAATGAACTTGATGGTTGACATTCTCTTGTGATTGTGTTTGTTATTGATTATTTAGAACATTGGTTTTTAATTTTCCTTTCAAGTGTGTTTTAAATATATTTGTCAATAAAGAAATGAATTTTTTATCTTATAAAACACTTTATAAGTTTCTAACTACATTTTAAGGCACATTAAACTTGTCACACATATTATGTATGCTCAAAGACTTTAACGCCCTTTCTCTTTCCTCTTTTTTTCTCCATTTCTCTCTTCTCCTTCTCCTCTTTTCTTCTTCTCTCCTCTCTCTTCTCTTCTTCATTACCACAAGCTCATTTTTTCCCATCTCAATTACATTTTTCTAAATGTTCAGATCCTAATACTGAAAATCCTATACAAAATCAAGAGAGAATTTGAGAAATTAAGAAGATCTAAACTTATAATAAAATTGATTTATTTTTGTGGTTATAGTTGGAAATTCACCGTTTATGAGAAATTTTTGTGGTTTTTTATTGATGGACTCTTTCATTGTAAACACTAATGTGTCGCTGTGGTCCAGCTCTTCTTTGACCACCGGTGAGATAACCATAGATTCCGAGCTCAAGATCTTCATGGATGACCTTTAGCAACCACATCCACACTTCGCTTTTTGCTAATAACCACATCCAGATGCACTATCCATAACATAGATCTTCGTGGATGATCCTTAGCAACCACATCCACACCTCGCTTTTTGCTAATAATCACATCCACATGCATTATCCATAGCAGAACCATCCACTCTTCACAAACCTAGACAATTAGATCCACATTTTCTCTGTCCGTAATTGTTTGGATTCGTGGTGGGAAAAAAAAAGAAAAAGATGAAAAAAGTGAGAGACTGGCATGCGATGGAGATTATTCGGCAGTGAGAAAAGAAGTGAAATTAATGACGCTGTTACAAGAGATATTAAATGCATTCACCTTTTATCTAATTTTTGTTTGTTTTAATATGAACTTAAAGTCTAGTATATGGAGAATGAAGATTAATATTTTGTCTATGTCTATTAATGAAGTAACAATTACTTTTAATTCTTGATGGAGATTAATGATGGAGATTTTTGTTTGTTCCAAAATTAATGAAGTAACAATTACTTTTGATTCTATGTCTCCTATGTCTTTTCACTACAAGAAAACTCGTCCATTACTAGGGCAGGTTTTCCTCGTTAGTTCCTAGTAAATGGCCTTTTACTAGGAACTTACGAGGAAACGCGTTTCGTCGAAACACGTTCATCGTAAAGCCTTTTTCCTCGTAAAGTCATAGTAACCACTTTCCTCGTAATTTCCTAGTAACCACTTTCCTCGTAATTTCCTAGTAACCACTTTCCTCGTAATTTCCTAGTAACCACTTTCCTCGTAATTTCCTAGTAATGCTTTACTAGGAATTTACTTCGAAATGTTTTTCCACTTTCCTCGTAATTTCCTAGTAATGCTTTACTAGGAATTTACTTTGAAATATT